ATCTGCTATATCTCAACGACCGTTATCTTCGAATCGCCCGTTATCGTCGGCTGGTCTCACGGAGATTACCACCAAGGGATCTGCTGATCAGCCATCTGAAATTATAGCCCCCCCAACCAATTTAGATATCGATCGAGGATATTTCTCGGGTGGTGAATTGGAGGGTCGGCAAAGGAACGTGCTACGTAAGAGAGGTAGTACAGCTGGACACTCTAGAAATTCTAGTTACACTGATGAGCAAAGATTAAGGACTGCAACAACAAATTCAAGACATTCTAGATTTGGTAGTGTCGATTCAGTGAGAGAGACGACACCACCCACCGCAGCACAGAAATATTACGGCTTATCTGTAAATGGTCGTCGAAGGACCCCCTCAGAAAGTTCCGTCAATTCACCTCCTCGACCAATACCACCTCCGAAGGACGATTTCCCACTCGTTACCAGACTTCAACCAGAAAGATCCATGGATAGTATAATGTCGCCCAAATCACCAAGTCTCCAACAAAATTACCCTAACGATCGGCTCCTACCTGCTAAACCAACAGGATCCTCTAGCCATTTCAGCATGCGCGCAATATCTGACGCTGTCACCGGCCGTGAGAAATCCCGCATTACTTCACCAACAGAAACGGTATCATCTTCAACAAAAGAATCTCCACTTCAATCGCCTTCAAGAACTGGTTCGAGCACACCTTCAGCTGGCCCAAGCTTTGAACTTGATCCTGCAGATGATAAGACGGCTATGATTAATCCAAAGGCATCGAGAAAGAAGTCCAAGAAGGAAACTAGTGCCTATACACGGGGACTCGAAAAGAAAACGCCTCAGGAACAGATGGTCGGTGCAGATTACAGCGGATGGATGAAAAAGAAAAGTTCGAATCTTATGACAACATGGAAGCCTAGACTTTTTGTGTTGAAGGGCCGCCGACTGTCATATTATTATTCCGAGACCGATGATCAAGAGAAAGGATTGATTGATATTTCATTCCATCGAGTCTTGCCAGCCGACACTGATCGTCTTACTGGTCTTCACGCCACTCTCACCGGTGCAACGAATAGCCCTACAAGCCCGATCAATGCCCAAGGGACTATTGCATCGGCGGAGGCAGATGCCGAACCAGAATCCACACTAAGCAAAAGTGGCGGTGATTCCATGTTCATTTTCAAACTCGTACCACCACGAGCTGGTCTTTCCAGAGCTGTCAACTTCACCAAACCTACTGTGCACTACTTCGCAGTGCCAAATATCAAGCAGGGTAGATTATGGATGGCCGCACTAATGAAAGCTACCATTGACCGAGACGATTCTAAACCTATAACCACAACTTATCAACAAAAGACTATCTCTCTTGCAAAAGCCCGACAGATGCGACACCGTCCTCCAGCACTTATGAACCTGGATGAAAAAGCCGAAGAGGAGACTTTGAAGACTCCGGCAAGCGATAAGCATGGTCTCAATATACATGGTATCATCTTCGACCGCGACGAGGGTGATAGTGGCGTTTCTGGGGTTTCGAAACGAGAGAGTGCGAAGACAGGGACTAGTCATGGACAAGAAAGTGCGGGCATAAGTAATACCTATTCGCCAGATACCGATATTGCAGAACCACAAACTGCTTAAGGTGGTACTTCAGAGGTTGTACGAACAATGATGATTGAGATGTTCGCACGCATTCGATTGATTACGACTGGTGGACGAAGACAAAAAAGCACATCGAATCTTTTTCCTTTTCACTACTTCACTTCACATCTCTTCTTTTTATCTAATATTTTCAAGCAATTCCTCGTTGCCGGCTCGATACCAATGAATATCTGTCGAGACGTCGAAAGATGCATACAATTTCAGATATCTATATAATATACCCCGTTCTAATTCTGGTGTGGTGTGCATATGGTGGGAATTGGGTGGTGGGATGTGGGTCAATTTGACGGAAATGGGAGGGAATTCGGTCGGCTTGGGGATGGATTGAAAGGTTGGGATGGATGAGATTGGTGAGCATTGGTTGGTTGGGTTGGCGGGATGGATTGGGGAAACAAAGTAGCATCAACCTTCTTTTCTTTTTTCTTTACAACGCACATCGGCGTCACACATACCCTCTCGATAGTTGAAGAAAGTTATTTGAATGCGAGACAGATCTGGATGGATTGATTGAGGGAGAACAAATCAATGACATGATAGGATGATAGGACTGATGATTCGCCTTTTGGAAAGGTTGCATTATCAAAAGTTGTGAATGTCGAGGTGGAGATAGATGACCGTAGAATGGGGAGGGAGGAGGTAAAATATGAAAGGCAGGGAGAATGAGAGTTATGTAGCGAACTGAAGCGGGAGAAATGAAATGAGCGAAAATTTCAATTTGAAAGCTGCATTTGGATATGGGTTAAGTGGGTGGATATGAATGTGAATGTGAATGTGAATGTGATGAATATGTGAATGTTCGAAAACCTCTCGAAGGCACGTGTCTACTACAGATACCTAGATATCTCGTAAAGATGAAAGGGGGGAAAAGAGGATGTAGGGATGGAAGCAATAAAGTTTAGTATAAAGGATTAATTGGGCTTACCCTAGAGGTTAAGGAGACTCGCTAATCTAATACGTGTGGTGTAGTGGCTACAAGGATTTTGCGAGGGGAAATCAGAAAAGCTTGAATTCTCATCATAGATCATAATGAGTGGATGAATATATCCACTGCTGGAAAATACGGCACAGATTTGAGTGTTTTGACTGGAGAGAATGGAGAGGAGAAGAGGTAAGGTAGAGCAAACTAATAGGGATCTTTTCATTATAGTATATGTTAGTTAGTTCATTAGTCGGATAGTCATTGTGGTATTATGGTGTGTTAGTTTTGTATTGTTTTTTGTTTTGTTTGTTTGTTTGTGAGATGAGGTTTATTTTATGAGGAAGTGTATGTGTATGTGTATTATATGTATATCAAGATATGTATAAACTGATTTGAGAAGAATGAGAATTTGTAGATGTATATGTGTGTAGTTGAATTTTGAAAGGATAGGTAGGTTAGGAGTGATTTCTTTTTTCTTTCCTCTTTTTGGAAGAGGGGGTAGTGGGATGAGTGAGTGGGTTTTTGATGATGGGTGGATGGGATGGGATGGGATGGGATGGGATTGGTGAGTGGGTAGGTGGGTGAGATTTATGGGGTTGGTAGGTAGGTTAGATGGGTAGGTGAGGTGGGTAGGTGAGATGGGTAGGTGAGTGTAGAGAATAGAGAATGGAGTTTGTGATATAGCGTATTGATATCTTTGAGATTTGCAAAGTGGATTTTGTGTATTGCATGGAATGGAATGGAATGGAATGGAAGGGGAGGGGAAGGGGTAGAGAGGCGAATGAGGATATAGGCAGATAGGAAAGCTATCTATGATTCCTGTGTTTACTGATATACTAATACATTAATACATTAATACGTTGATATCGGTTGTAATCTTACATGAATAAACGAACTAGCGAACCAACAAATAATACCCCTATATTACATCCTTGCCATCAATATCGATTTTGAGTATTTTCTTCTTATTATCATTATGTACCTAGGTAGGGATATATACGAAAACAAGAGAAGAGAGTAGCTTTCTCATGGTTTCTAGAATCTATAGAATAGTCAAATCTGTATATAATTCACACACTACATATAAAAGACGAGGTTACCTGTTCTTGGTGAATTGAAGAGTTAGGGTGTGATAATACTCATTAAGTAGGTAGATAAATAGGTAGGTAGATAGATAGGTAGATAAGTAGATAGGTAGATAAGTAAATAAATAAATAGGTAAATAAATAAATAAATAAATAAATAAATAAATAAATAAATAAATAAATAAATAAATAAATAAATAAATAAATAAATAAATAAATAAATAAATAAATAAATAAATAAATAAATAAATAAATAAATAAATAAATAAATAAATAAATAAATAAATAAATAAATAAATAGATAGATAAATAGGTAGGTAAGTGAATAAGCAGGTAGGTTGTTATCAAGACTTTTTACTTTTTACATTCTATCCTGCACCCCTTCTAATTTCATTTCCATTCCTCTTCCCCTTCCATTTCCATTTCCATTTCCACCAACAAGTTTCAATGGCCATCATCTGACTTTCTGACGGGAATGTATAGGATATGATAGGATACTGTTTGTATTACGGTGTGTGAGTGTATAGGAATGTATTGCAGTTGCGGTTTTGCGTGAATTGAATGGGGGTGTTAATCTAGAGCGATGGGATAAGTTTGGAGGGTTAGAGAAGTATATCGACTAAACTTGGCTGGTGTCTATGATGAGGATGCGGATGTGGTGAATTGGGGTTGGACGTATGTAGGTGAGATTGAATTGAGACGGGGTTTTGAGAGGTAAACAAGCAGTCAAATACACACTTACGTAGGTACTCTACTTGGATTTTGATGATCAAAAAGGACAGGATACAATAAAATATAATCGAATAGTTTCGATGATCGAGAAGAATTCTGTAAGTATGATATTGATTCATTATATGTAATGTAGAATTCATCTTCGACAGCCATCCAGCCTATTAGATAGCATAGGGAAGAATACTAGGTAGTGCAACTCTCTCCAATGGTTTACTGGCGGAAGAGCGTCTGATATTGATGCTTGAAATAATATGGAATTCACGTACTGACTGGTCTTGAGCCTGGTCTAAGAACTTACTTACTCATTAACATTGCCACGAGAATTCAGATCTGTGCTCGTAGTCCAAATTCATAGATCTAAGATAGAAAGCGTGAGAATGTATAGAATGGATCACCAGTAAGGCAACCTGTGAGGTTATTAAATGTCCTTCTCATTATATCACAACAGTTGACAAAGGCTTCAGGGATTCGAAATAAAAGCACTTGCTTCCATTACTCTGTTGCATTCCATCCCAATATGCATCGGTTTCAGACTCTCAGCATTCTCACCCTATAGACTTTTAATTTGCCTCACCACTCACCCTTCCCTCCTTTCATAAAAACAAACACACCCACACCACAAGCCCATCTCACAAAAAACACAAATCACTAATCACAACCGCCTCCAAAGACAACATAACTAGTACATAGGAAGTAGAGATCTATTCACAATAAGTAGATATCAACGCCCTCTTTCCATGCTATGTATACACATACACATCCTCGTTTTCAGAATCATCCTCGCAATCATATCCCATCACTTTCATTCCGCTTTTCGTCATGCATCCATCCTATCATACATTTCTTCCACTGACTGCTGCATTCATCTGCGACCTAGGTAATCCATTGCACATTGTCGTCGTCATTAAGAGATCTCCTCTCTCATCATCACTCTGCCGCCTTTCGTTTGTCGATTCCATATATCAATATTCCAGTCCCAATCCAATCCCATACAATTCTCATCACCATCTCCATTGCCAATCCTTATCATTCTTTACAAACTACACACACACAATCATTAGCCCAGTCCTAATCTCAATCCTTCATCTCAATCCCCATCCCATCCCATCCCTCTTCCCCCCTCCCGTCAAAACCAAAACAAAAAAATACTCACGGCGGCAAAAGATACTCGCTCCAACTACTCGCAAAAAACGCCACCGCAACCCCAAAAACCCCAATACTCCTCACTACACTCGCATTTTCCGGCGCCGTCAACGCACCATACGTGCTTGCGAAATAACCTTTTTGTTGAGCGGGGCGACGGCCGGAGCGTTCGACGACTACGCGTTGGGTTTTGGGTGCCATTTTATTGATTGTTTTTGTGGTGTGAGATATTTAGTTGGGGGTGGTTATGTGTGAAGAGAAATGGGTGCGTGGATTGGAGGGTGTGTTGGAGAATGAAGTTGTTATGGCTTGAATATTCTTTGATACTTGTGAATTACTAGTGGTATTGAGGAGTTTTTGGGTATGATGATGATTAGTCAGCTAGTAAGCTTAGCTTGGGTAAACACGTGATTGGGGGGGGAATTGGGGGGTGAGAATGAAGAGGTAAGAAATGTTTCGAGGTTGTAGAGGGGAATTGTTCCAATACGAGGGAATGTATACTTGGGAATACTACCATAGTTGGGATATACTTTTCATAGTCCTTGTTAATACGATGAATGGAAAATGGGAAATGATAGCACCTTTCCTCAAGCTTTAATTTACCAATATAATTGTAAGAGTTCTAGAACCTAAATCGACCACCCTATTTTCAAACCACCTTTATTTTGAGCCACCCTTTTATATTAAAAATCGCTTTTTTAGTCTATTAATATTTCTATCAATATATAATCTAATATAATAAAAATTTGAATATATATAATTTAAGTTATTTTAAGCTTATTTTGAAAATTTGAAAATTTTAGGAATTTTCTGTATTAAGATCTAAAGCTTTAAAATATCAATTTTTAAATTTATATAGGAATTATATATAAATTTGAAATTTTTATAAAATCTTTAATAACTCTTTAATAATAACTATTAAAAGAAAACTATATATCTTTTTGAAAGTTTTGAATTTAAATTTATATAGAAATTAAAAAAAAAATTAAAAAAAAATTAATAGATATAGAGATATAGTATATAGTGAGTTTAGAATAATATAAATAATCCCTGTAATTTTAAGGGTATTCTTTTAAGTATCTATTTATAGGAAGTTTTCTTTTTTTTCTTAAATCCTTCAAAATAAATATGTTATAAATTTATAATAAAATTTTATAGTCTATTTTTAATAATTTTTATTAAAAAGTTATTAAAGATTTTATAAAAGTTTCAAATTTATATATGATTTCTATACAAATTTAAAAATCGATATTTTAAAGCTCTAGATCTCAATACAGAAAATTCCTAAAAATCTGAAATTTTCAAGGTAAGCTAAAAATGATCTAAATTATATATATATAAGTTTTCAGTGAATTCTATTCATAAATAAGAAAGTTAAAAATTCCATTTTTGATGTAAAAAGTGGCCCAAAAGGGAGGTGGCTTGAAAGTAGAGTACCCGACTTACCCCTACTTACTACACGCCGTGACGTTTTTTTGACATAATCCCTACAAAATTTATGTTTCCTTATGTAAATAAAATTATTAGATTACTATTTCAATTGATTACATATTGATTTTAAACTTTCAAGATTGATAATATGAATATATCAAATATTAAAAAAGTATAACATAGTTTATCAATATATATATTATATTAATACATACATTACTTTTACCTTAATTTACACTTTCAAACTCATATTATTCAATAATAATTAAATCAATTAATTAAAACTATTCAGAATTTAATAATCTAAAATCTATTATATTATTTTGATGGGTTTTATATTATAATCTATCTTTTCATATTTATTATAATATCAAATAGAAAATACTTCCCTATTAGATTTACTCTCCTTTTAATACTCATTATATTAAATCTAAATATTAACTTCTTACTAAAATAATATATTAAAAACTTCTTATCTAATAAATACTTCTTTTTAATATAATTGGGTTTTTTATAACTTATATATTAATATTTGCTTAATATTTTATTTATTATTTGAAATATATAAATTTTTGTATTTAAAAGTATATTTTTATAAATTAATTGTTTTTTATTTTTAATTAGAGTTAATATAACCTTAAATATAGATATAAATGAGTTTGATTGATAATAAGTTATTTGAGATTTAATTAATATTAATTGAGAAAAAGCTTTAATTGAGTTATAAGGGGTTTAAGAGATCTATTGATTTAGATTGAAAGAGAAGGGGGTAGGTACATGAATTCGAATATTTAATTTCGAGAGTATAATTTTAGAATTAAATAGGATTAAATTTGTTTTTTAGAATTCTGATTTTATATTCTAAAAGATGATTGATTTTTTATATATAGTTTTAAAAGTTATAAAGAATTCAATCTTTGAAATATAATTAATATATACTTTAATAAATCTATTAATTTGATTATTATATAAACGTTTGAGATTACTAAAATAATTAATATTAAGTGGTTGAATAAAATGATTTGAATATAATAATAAATATAAATATATAATATCATTCTCTTTATAATATATTTGAAAAGCTATTAATTTGTAGCTTTTATACCTATTTAATATTAACATTTAATATTTACTCTTTCTTTGATTTTTAATATACTTATCAAAATGTTTCAATTATTCTAAACTTGTTTTATTGTTTGTCTATTTATTAGATATAGATTTAATAATCTAATCTATAAGAAGATTAATTTCGATATATCAATTAGAAAAATAAATTTATCCTTAAACTATTAGAAATAAAAGAATAATTTCACCCTCTTCATTTCCATATATTATTATTATAGTTTATTCTCGATTACCTAATTATACTAATTTACTTCTATTATATTTCTTAGTATTAATAATAATTATCATTATACATATAGTTCCTATTATAAAACCTGTTTTATTAAAATTATAAAAATCTTTGTTTAAAATATTATATTTTATTTATATATTTATAACTAATTAAAACCACTCTTTAAAAAGCTTAAAATCCTTATAAAAAGTTTTTTGAAAATCATAAACACAATTAAAATATATATTTAATTTTTTATATTGTTTTACAAATCAATATATTTAAAACTTTTCAATAACTTTTCTTCCTTTCAATTCGAAAATATAATTCACCATATCTTTTATCTCTTTAAATTTAAAAAGAAAACCTCTTGAATTTATATCAAGAATATATAAAATAATCATTTGCTCTTCTACTTTAATAAATTTCAGATTTTATAATTGAAATTCAATTGTAAAAGTTGTTCTATTCATTCTTTAAATAAGTATTATATATATAATATTATACAGTTTAATAATTTTCTAAATCGAAAGTTTTTTATCTTTTTCAATAACTTCGATAGTTAAGAGTATTCTCTCTTCTTTATTATTTAATTATATAATAAATAATTAATAAATCGTATATTGAGATTGAAGAATATAAATTAAAATAAAAGTAATATACGCACTAATATAGTACACATACTAATTGTTGAGCAGACTTGATAAGGTGTGTATACACAATGTGTATAAATAAAAGAGTTGTTTATTTCTATTTACCCTCTTTGTATGAAAAGGGAATTGCTATATCTATATATATATACTATTCTTATTTATGTATTTCGTATGTATGTGAGGTAAAGCATGATATATAATGTTATATTGTTGATTATGTATTTTGACACTAATAAACTATATTATACTTAATTTTTAAATAATTTAATTCAAGATTTATATAAACTATTAATCAAAAAACTCAGGATTTTTAACTTGTAACATTTTTCCTATACAAAACAAGCAATTCTTCGAAAATTTTAAGAAATTTAACTTCAATCTTTTATAAAAGCTATTATAAAATTGTTTAAAAATTTTATTTTATTTTATTTTATTTTATTTTATTTTATTTTATTTTATTTTATTTTATTTTTTAATAATCTCAAATATTTTTATTATATAATTTTTGATTTCATTTTATAATATAATAAATAAACTAGGGTATAAAGAGCTGAATATTCGAAGGTTTGAGCTGGAAAAGCGTTACCTGTGCGGTAAGTAGGTTCTAAAACTCTTACATGTACGTAGTATATATAAATTTTCTCAGTTCATACAGCATCAAACCCCAGCTTTTCAAGAATCAAATTCAAACCCAGCCTTCCTACAATCCTAGCAATAATAATCGCTCTTTTCCAACAATTCTATCCCAGAGACAAAATCTCTAACCATTGAGGTTACCTTACCGAGCTAACCTTACCGTGACAACTTTTCCCATTACCAACACAAACATCCAATCTAGCAGTCTCAGCCCACCCCCTTACACTCTCACATCCTCCATAAACACCGTGACTCTCATCCCACCACCTACTAACTTCCATATACAAACTTGCCCATTCACCAGAGCAGAACCCTACCTTTCCCCCTCATCTATAATTCTAGGACCCTGACCCTGACCCTAGCCCTTACCCAATACCTCATATAAATATAAATATGAATAACAGACATACTCTCCCCTCCTCATCCCTATAAACTCGACTCCAAAAGTGCGATGCCGAGACGGAATGCCTCAAAGTGTCAGACAGAAAGAATAGAGTAGCAACTTAAATCTGAACTCGAATTCTCATCTTTGCTCAAAATGTTCGTAACTTCCAATTTCACAATCTTCCTGAATATCCCCGCCCGAGTTTATCTCCACAGCATCACATCATACCGGTACTCCTTCCACATTCTAGATATTCTCAAGCTTTTCTCTTCTTTTGCCTCCCTCTCTAATCCTTCAACTTCCCCGCCGATCCTCAAATCTCTCCCCTCCCCCTTCCAATCCCGCAACCACCACTCTGCCCTCCGCCCTCCGCCTTTTCAACGTCCCACTCCAGATTCATACCTTCCACCAAATATCTCTTCACGTCTCCCTCTCTCTCCCTCTCTCAAAACCCTACAATTCCACCCCGTAATCTCATCCCTCCGACCCCCATCCATCCATCCATCCGACCATCCACCCTCATCACATACATGAAATCCCCTCGAGAAAATACACAGTCCAATTCCAATTCCAAAACACCATGATCCATGATCCGATATCACTTCAACCATCTAGACAAGAAACAACCCCAAACCAAACGAAGCGCAAGCAATACCCACCATCCTTCCACCCCTCCATCCATTTCCTCCATTCCCCAAAATTCAAAAGAACATCATCCATCATACTCCCCTTTCCCTATTCCTCTTCCTCTTCTCCTTCCTCCTTACCCCATGCCCCTTCCCTCCCACCTCCCCACGAACCCAAATACATCCCCAAATACATCCCATCCCCATCCAAACCTTCCCCTCCTCCATCTATCCATCTATCCATTTATAACCCTACCCTTCCCCCTTTCTCCCCTCCCTTTCTACCCCATCCCAAATCCAATCAAATCCACCCCTTTCCACCCAAACCCCCATCCCTATCCTCCATCCTCCATCTCATATATAT